TTTACAAAAGTTGGCCAGTTGAAAATTTAATGTAATTGGTCTGATCCATTAGAAGTTACTGAAAAGCCTGTGTTTTGGATACAGTTTATGTACAGTACATAGTATCAGTTAAATATTGTTTACATTGGCACAAATATTCTCGTAGATTGCATACATAAATTGCTGTGTGTATTGACTATTTAAGTTGCATAATAGGTGTCCAATGTCATCAGGTACCCGATATATTCTAAATACAGCAGAGGTTTATATAACTTGATGTGAAATCATGATCAAGGGCAATTGAAACTTTAAGCCCAATCTTTAATGTCAACTTGTCGACGAATAGGTCACACTTCCAAAAAAGTCTGATCGGTAGAATAGTTTCACCAGAAAAGTATGCTTAAAAAGTGTGGATGAAAGTCGTTCAGATTAATGAAGAGGTTTTATAGAGGATGGCTGGAGTAAAATGACTGCATCAGTGTGTAACATATACCAATAGATGTTCTGGATGTCTCAGTACACTGACAAGGCTTACTTAGGTAGATCTAGTGGGAGGATAATATTAGTACATTCAGACATCTCACCATTGAAGTTACATTATTATTCCATGATCATTATGTCGTACAAGCTTACCTGTAAATCTCAGCATTGCCACCACAGACATGTTTTTTTTCTGTCTGGACGTGCTTCGTCCTCTGGTGTGTAATGGTCAATAGGTTATCACTGATGCACGCACCGTGCATTTAGCTGTCACTTTGATGTCTACTCTGACAGGGTTATTTACTGCTGTATGTGTATATGCACTGTATGGATAAATTCTGATCGACAGAGTGTTAGTGATTTCTTACCGGCAGTGTGCAAGTATTTTCTGATCAGCTATAGCTATAGCTAATACACATTGGATGCCAGGGAATAGTGGCGAAGAAAATAAGAAAATTTATATGTACTTTTAAATTGGACCGTATATTTTTGTGGTTGATGGTGACAACAGACACTGGAGTGCAGACAGACTTTTCTGTAAGTACATGATCCTTGTGATTTACACAAATCATCACGGCGTCCCTGTGATAGAGAAATCACAATGAAGTCAGTTCTAGGTATCTAAGGTAGCTAGTGCACTGTATATTTTAACTATGAATCTACTTATATTTGCTGTCCAATCAGGCTCTTGCCAGGAATGTATTGGGACACGTCTCACTGTGTTTATGTTATAATTTTGGGACTCGAAACATTGGCCATTGTTCTTAGTAGACTGTAAATTCCGTTTCAACCTTGCATTCTGGGGTAAGGTGGGTTTTTTTTCTCACAACACAAGGTGCATAGTACAAACGGAAGGCTGCTTGTACCCCCAACGCGAGTCCACCCTCCACAGTGTGTACAATGTGTGCCTGAGGTTGTAGAGGTGTTTAGCTTGTTATGTGTCAGTATTTTAAACAGCTCGATTATAGTGCCAACCACTTGAATAATAGACTACAGCACCTAAACTGTATAATAACCAACCCAGACCATATTTTCTTGCATACTAGACCGAGATATCCGCATATCCGGCGGTGCTGGAAAATTCTATCCGACCCACGGGTCTGTATCGCTTACATGTTCAGACTGGCGGGGGAATTATAGTGACTTTTCAGGGTCACGCTATTGTTTGTGACGTCATTTTATGTCGTTTTGGGGTCAGTCATGGTCATTAAAGTCACTAACAATCGCCATCCGGTCTCCATATGCAAATAAGACATGTGCGGACAGTTTACAACTTTACTAGAAAAGCAGCTGTTTTTACGGGTTTTAGGTAATAAGCAATTAATAGAATCCATCCCTGATGTGAGGTATGGATAAGGTTATTCAAACCCAAGGGATAAAATATTGAGCAGGAGACCCGAGGCTTGCCTCGGGTCTCCTGCTCAATATTTTATCCCTTGGGTTTGAATAACCTTATCCATACCTCACATCAGGGATGGATTCTATTAATACTCAACTTCAGGAAAGTGGAATGAGATGCAAGGGGTCTGTGCATGTGCACCTTGACACAACCTCATCCCATCACCTGTGCAGCGAATCCAACCCACAACTTTGTGGTCAAAACAAGCTGAAGCACTACAGGGTGCTTAGGTTTTGTACTGGTAACAGCACTTGTAACATTGTCCTATATTTTGTAACACAAATTGCTACGTTCCTATCCAGCTATACCTAAGCTGTCAGGACATATTTATTTATTTGGATGGGGATAAAAATTGGTATCTTAAGTATTTCTCACAGAGGTATCCTGGTATCTAACTCATAGGACTGGCCATACCCCACAGGTATGTGTCCTAGTACCAACTATATCATGTATAGGACTGACCATACCCCACAGGTATGTGTCCTAGTACCAAATATATAATATATAGGACTGACCATTCCATGCTTGGCATTTCTTTTACTATATTCCACCACAGTTAGCCAACACAGTTCATGTCCAATAAAATGGTTGCTGTTAGGAATTCAATACAATCCCAGGAAGTACATTTGTATTTCTGTGATTATTAAACCTGAATTAACATTTTTGATATACAGTGTATTACTGTTTATGGTGGATAAATTAAATGATTTGGTGCTGACAGTGTATGCTATATATTCTATCTGACTGATAAACTATTTGATCTGACTCTGATTGTATGGCCGAGCTGTATCAAACCAGATTTAATGGTAAGCTGAGAGCACTGGCCACACAACATAAACAGGCTTAATGTCCTCTGGTCTTTAACCTCCCACTGGAAGAAGCCAACAGTCACATGAAATTGGAGCTGGGAGGTGTTTACATGTCATTCAAGCCTAATATTACTCCCAGGACACAGTTCAGATGAGAGGTGGCTATATTGGTCAGGAACAATGTGTTAGTGTGGATGTTCACAGCTTCCTACCAGGTATAAACAGAGGGAGCTGTGTGGTAGCTATGTACCAGTGTCTGTTGGTGGACATGCTTGACCAAAGGACATCATTACAGTGATAGGTGGAATCAGTGGTCATTATTTCACGACCTTGGTTCCTAGTACAGCCTGGTAGTGGTCATCATTAAATGTGTCAGTAAAGGGACATTAGTGACCAGTGGGACACATGTAGGGTCAGGAGCAACAATATAATCTTGTGTTTAGCTGGTCGGGGAATATATATGTCTTCTGAATGTAAGTGATGTTTCCTCGTTGGGTCCTTTATGAAATTCAAAATGTTTCTTAAATTAAATGATTATTGCAGTTAACAAACAAACAAGCTTTTGTACATCTTGGGTAGTCGGGTAACTGCATGCATTTACCGGGCGAGTATTCTTTAAAATCTGATGATATATTTAGTCTCCAAAAGCAGTAGCCAAATTTAGAAGAGGTGCATACATTTACATTCTTTGAAAAATATTCATTTTGATAAAAATCAGTTACAGACTGGTAGACTAACAAAGCTTTGAGGAGATGTGGTTATTAAGGACGGAGAAATTGAAAAATACTCATTTTGATAAAAATTAGTAACAGACTGGTAGGCTAACAAAGCTTTGAGGAGATGTGGTTATTAAGGACGGAGAATATCACTAGTTAATGAAAAAGCTCAGTCATGGATCTCATATCAGAGTGAGCCACTAGCTTTGCTTTTCCCATTCCTAATAATCATCCACCGATTATGACTTTGCCAAAAGTATTATCAGTCATCATTCATGTACACCTTTAGCGGGAGTTCTCAGGTGAAAATTGTCTGTGTACACCGAAGACTTAGTAATGATCATTTGGTGTTTTGGCAGAGTTACAACTCCAGGTCAATACTATAGTATATATATTATATGTATACACATACCCACAGACCAACATGGTGAAAAGTTACATGTTTATGACCATATATGGGCAGGTCAGTTTACCTACTGATCACTTACAGGTGAAAACTGGCTGTAGTAATTGTTTCTAATCAGTAACTGATGTTGTCTAGCGTTACAGGTAAGTAATAGGTCATGAGCCGTAGTAACAAATCAAGCAGTCTACTGGTTAGTTTATATCTTTGTGATAACCCAGGACCCTGTGTACATATATATGTTTTAATCTGAAACCGTTTGTGTATAGGGATATACATGAAGATGTGTGCTGTCCTGTTGTGCGGGGTTGAGATATGCCTGAGTGTGCAAAGTTTTCCTGAGCAGGTCTTGTGTGATACCAGGCCAAGGGGCTTAAGACTCACAGTGCTAACATGGCCAGGATTTATTGGTTAATAAGTTCTTCTATAAATTACTAACTCATGTGGAAGTTTGAGTATCAAACCACGCGGAGAGATATTCTCCTCACAGATGAGTCAACGACTGTGTGATGCTGCTTCACATGGAATCGGTGGAGGTGGTTCTGTGTAAAATTGATTGGATCCCTTCACAGGGTACTCAGGGCCATGACGGACATGTTTACATGGCACAGACTATTCGTTAGCCTTGTAAACATTAGGTAGTGAGTCTCCACAGAGGAAAAAAACACTGTTAAATCCAATTTGAAGATATAAGGTGCTATGGCATTAATTTTATTTTGGAAACCTTAATTCGACATCAAGCAGAAATTTGTTGTGACAGCCCTATGCATTGGATTCTATAGTTGGATTGTGGACTTGTATATTGCTTCAATAACAGAGAACCTGAGCTGCTTCAGTCTGTGATGAAAATGGTAAACACATTTAGATGGCCATATAGCTTAACAAAGAATCTAAGAAATGACATTGCGAAATCGTAAAGCTGTTCATTCAAGTGTTGACAAGAGCCATGGTGACATTTGTGATTTATAGGAAATATCAATCTTATACCCTTTGGCAGAAGATTTAAAGCTGGTTGTGAATGTCCTGTGTGTATTTTTGTGTACGTACAAGATTAGCTTAGTCTGTTATATAAGGGAATGGCCTTGGTATGTACACCTGTTTGGTCGTTGGACGGTACAAACATGCAGGTAATGGTTACATAAACCAATCAAACATGTATATATTGGTGATAGTGGGATGATTCCTTACACAGTATATATACTTGTGTTTTTCAGCCGCCACCTGTTGAAGGGAAACCCGGTAGTCAGGATTCTAGTCTGGACGCCGATCTGACTGAGGTAAGTTATATATATATAATTACCATCTACCTGGACATGCTTACTGACATTAATCAATTAATTATATATCGAACAAAATTTTACAAGTCATACCTATGTCATTGAGACATTCAAGGAATACAGCAAAGTTTGATTTGTNGGGGGGGGGAGAGAGGTGGCATATAATATATACACTGTAGTTTTTACCCTTGTCCGTAACATCCCCCTTGTCCCATCCCAACTCAGTGTCATCACTCTAGCAAAACTTTATACACAGACAGGTCAAGTATGATAACAGGTCTCATTTGCCAACTCAGTTCTCACAAACAAACTTCAGCGTCCACTTTTCCTGATCTCTTACTGTTATAGGATGTGTTACTCAATAGATCACCAAACCCCTTTAGAATGCCAAAATTGGTGTTGATAAAAATGTTGACAGTATGATGGGGGTTAACAGTAGTCACAGAATACCTTCTGATTGGACCTAATTCTGATTGGACATGAAATGGTATCGGTTCACCTGCCCCACCATGTGGTTTTTTTTGCTGGGTAACTCTGCTCTCCTCCCAAATTAACACCTCCTGCATGCCTCCATCTTGGCCAACAAGAGTGATACATTTAAAGTTACAAAATAAATGTTTTATAATTGGCTTTAAGTTCATAAAATTGATACATAATTGAAGGGATGAATGCTTTAGTTGAGTTGACAATTTCTATTTAAATTTGAATTTGACTATAAATATAGAAAAACAGCGTTATCAGACCTTGTGAATGAAGTGTGTCCATACAGGAATAAGTGTAGTGGTTGTGCTACGTACATATAGATCATCAAACTACTATATAACATACGACAGTAATTTTGTTTTGTAATTGTTTTGTAATTTTGTTTTGTTTTGTACAATTAGCTACGTACATATAGATCATCAAACTACTATATAACATACGACAGTAATTTTGTTTTGTAAAAACAGAAAAAGTGTTTCAACGACAGATCGAGTAAGCAGGTTTTTGAATTTCTAGAGGGAGCAGGAAATCCAAAAGTCATCGAGGTCAGATTGAGGGGGGCACATTTTCTGAAATATTCACAGATTGATTGATAATGCAATTTGGAACAATTTAAGTGAAGGTTAGATGTTGGAGCTCTATAGGCGGACATGTTTAGTATCTCAATATTCTCCAGTAAGGTGAACAGAACAGAGTTCGAGGGACTGGCTTATGTATGATACAGGATGGTATTGGAAGGAGATTGTTTGTTGAAGATGGAGCAGTCCTGATATGAATTAACTCATTCACCCCTGGAGACACATTTGAACTCCTCCAATTCAAACGTTGGAATAGTTAATTATGAAATTTCAGGGGTGAATGAGTTCAGGATCAGATGTGATTCTGTGGCCTTCCTGTTAGAGAAAAAAATGTTTTAATACCAAATTGAAAATAGGGATCAGATGTTTCTCCATCAAACGCCTTTTCTATCAACATCAGAAAATAATAAATCTGACATAAATAGGCTATGTAATTGGGATGTTCCTGGTCTGCTGTAATAGGTGTTCATTAAATTACCACCGATCTACTCCTGTGACCTAGATAAAAAGATTCTGCTGTCATTATCTGTAACAGCCAATTTTTTCTATAATTATAAAGTTCTATTAAGAAACCTCCACAAAAGTGTATTGATAATACCTTACACTGTCACCATTTATAGTCAACTCGAAAACTGATGAACAATTCAGTACAACTCCTGTGACAGCACATAAGCTTTGAAATCTCAGGATACGATAGGACTCCTTCCGATAATTGAGAGAAAAAAAGTTATTTAAAGCAGATGTCAGACGGACTTATAATGTAATTTTTGAAGTTTTTTGGCTCGCCAAACATGTCTAATTACCTTAACATGTAGCCGGTGAAGCCCGGTTTGGTAGGCATGAGCGTTTAATGACTTTCTAGGGGTTGAAAGACATAGAAACGCTGGAATGTTCTCTCAGATGTGTCAACTTCGGGGGATTCAGGCGGCATTTTATTTCTTCCTGCTTTCCAAAATGCACTGAAAATTCCCATGACTTGAAAACAAAAGTGATGGTTTTGCACTAACTTTGATGTGAGTAATGTATAGGGAGACACATGGTTTACTGTAGGTAAATCCTGGCTGTCATACCCAAGGCTAGAAACATCTTATACCAAACAAAATTTGCTTTAAAAAAGTCATCTGTGGATAAAGAATTCTGCAGACAACACAGTGAAGTAGATATTATTCTTCAGATTCCTGAGTATTTTGTGATATAAACCTATAAGGAAATGTGTACCGACATATTAGATGAGTGTATGATTATTTTTTTTGTAGGATGTTTTCTTCAACACCAACTGGCAGGAGTCTGTAGGAGGCGCACAGTCGAACAAGTCAGCTAGTTCTTCAGGTAGGTACCAGTTTGGTAGATGTTTAATTAACATCTCTCTCTAAAATCTGTCTGTAATTCTATGTAGGAACAGGCTGAAGGAACTGTGCAAACTCCTTGCCAGGAACTGCAAAAGTGGAAATCTCTGCGTTTGTGACTCTTTGAACTGATCACGATTTGGAGATTTTTGTGCTGGTAATGGTACTGAAATCTATCTGCTATATCTTTAATCTATATACTTATTTCCAACCCTCGAACATGTCCACGTTTACAGTATTATGAGGGGTACTTAGCTGGTTTTGTCAGTACTACTCATATTTCAACATTTCCAATTGCATTGGATACCGGTAAGCACCTGTTTCCTTGGCAACTGTATAGACTTACTGTGAATAACATCCTGCTGCCATGACAACTAATCCAGTCACCTTCCCTTATTCCGTTAATCCCGGAAAATTACATGCTTCCTGGCAGTTTCCTCACAATATCCTTTTTTATACATTTATCAGGTTTGTGTAATGTATACTTGGACTTGGTACCACAAGATGTGTATAAGGCTTTTATAATGTGACTTCAAGTGTCGATGTCCGTGGTACATGTGTACCTGATGAAAGTCATCAGGTGACAAGCTACTGCAAAACTAAAGATTCTTGCATGTGAAATTGTAGGTGTTGTGACTCATTAAACTCAGGTGCAGTGTTGAAAATCTAAATATATCATAAATTAATAAGTAAATAAATATCCTAGAATCTATGTAGTCTTTATATAGTTTGTGGGTGGATGTCTTTGTGCTTAAAAACATCTTCCACACTGGAATAACTTCCTCTTTTACTGTATAGGTCTTACACCCAGACACTCCTACTAAGCATCTGACAAGTTTGGACAGCCTCCCAATTTTCATTCCCACAAATACGGTTTTGTAAGATTACAGAAAAAAGCTTCACAGTGTCAAACTGACAATGCTTCGGATTTGCAAAACCATATATACGGTAATGGTCAGTATTACCTTCTAAATGACCATATATCTGACCTAGTATGTTATGGTTAGAAAACCACTGTTGTACAGAGGGATTGCTGTACATGTGTGGTTCAGAACTCCTATTTACCAAAGTCGCCAGCATTTCCTATGGAGCAAGGAGACTCCTCTAAGAAAAATCTGGTCAAGGTGTACTGTTATTGACCGACATTTTGACAATTAAGATTTGTCTTTGGTAAAGTTCTATCCATCGAAGATTTCGACCTGAAATCTGTGTCATCAGAATAGCGTATGTGTCATATTGACCTGGTCATTTTCGTCCTTCAGTAAATAGGTTATGTTTATGTATGAAGCCCTAAATGACCCTAACATGGTAATCACACTGTTACTTGACTGATTCAGAATAAACAGGCTCTCACTAGAAACATCTCAATCACAGGCTCCAACTTGAGCCATAGATTTACTATTGCCTCAAAACAAATGAAAATATAAACACACAGAGACAGACTTTTGTCAAATATGTCATTTTATGGAAAAATTGATACTTCATATATAGTATCAATATGCTTCATTCTTTATCGAGTACTTTTTCTTAGCCAACGTTCCTCAAGTTACAAACTGTCGGAAGTCTACGGTGTGTGATACTCCCATAGGACAATGTGGATAATGGATGGTATATAAGATAACAGTTCCAAATGGATTGTGCCTGTTGTGTGATCAATATGTGCGGAGATCTTTAGTCAGATGGAAGTGTGAGGCTGAATGTGTGTTCCGGATCAGGTTGACCTTAGATAAGGATTCTTTTAAGGGATTAGGGTATAGTTCGACTTTACTGGATACTCCGCTCTATCTTGGGAGATGATAAGGCGTGATTTCCTGAAAATCGATTTCTTCTGTGTCGTAGCTGTCAACTTGGATAGTGCCACCCTTGACTTTCATTGGTTGTAACTATTAAGCATTAGAGAGTTTTGTTCTAACTTTACAAACATTTTAGGATGTAGAAGTTGTGTCATCAATCGTTTTGAGGGGAATTTGTTTCAGTAACAGCTGGTACCATAAAGCACCTGACATTACATGACTGAGGCATGGTTTGACAGTCCAACAGAAAATGTCTACTTTCACTTACACTTGCCATTATACTCTTGTTTAGAGGCAGTAGGTATTCTATGACTTGGCCATGTCTGTGTTGCTAGATATGTTGATATTTGACAGAGCAACACCCAGTTTGTGAGGTACCGAGGAATCAGGAAGTGGCGACTATCATGTTGTTAGTTGTGATAGAAACAGGCTGGCTGGTAATGTTGTAGCAACAGTTGTGTGACATTCCTTCTGTGGTTCCTAGTACGATGAGCTTTACCTCAGATCTGTCCAACATGCTTTTAATGAAGGGATGTTGGGATATATGTTTATACATTTGTCTTTAATCAAACCTCATTTATCTTTTTACTTCTTTCTTTTCTGAGAATCCATCAGATTTGTTTAAAACAATGTGTAATTTTTTTGAAGGAAGTCTAGAAGCAGCATCATATTTTTTTTACAATGAATTATTTATTTGAATGTTGAGGTAAAGTTCTGTATGATTGGCTTAAGGAAATGATGATTAATGACAACATAAAAAGCAAAACAGAGGCCAACAGGAATCGATCAGTTCCCAAAAACCAGCCTTCAGTACCTAACATTAATACAGATAGATATGAATGTCCATTACTCATCAGACTGTTATCACGTCTGACTTAATGTGGAGTTGTTCGACCAGGAACGAGCGTGAGGAACAGTTCTACAGTGTTTGTCTGCGGGGAAGTTTTATTGGAGAGCATTTGCATTACCAATGATTACAGGCCGTGATGTAAACACGGGCATCAGTCTTAATCAGGAGGCGATAGAAATAGCCCGGACTGTCTCCTGGGCACATCCTAATCAATACTATTGTAATTCAAAAGATTTCATAAAACGTGGTTCATACATATTGGATGTCCCCCAAGCTGTTGTACCTGGATGTTTGTGTCTGACTCAACTAAAGTTAGGTTTTGTTCAACAAAGTCTTATACCTATCTTGAACTCACCTAAACCAATATAGGAAGAGATATAATAAAAATGCTTGATGTTGAAAAAAAAAAAAAAGTATTCCTTGCACTGACTGGACCCAGGCCACCAGTCCTGGTCACATTCCTGGCTCCAACTGGACCTATGCTATTGGTCCTGGTCACATTCCTGGCTCTGACTGGACCCAGGCTGTCGGTCCTGGTCACATTCCTGGCTCTAACTGGACCTAGGCTATTGGTCCTGGTCATATTCCTGGCTCTGACTGGACCCAGGCTGTCGGTCCTGGTCACATTCCTGGCTCCGACTGGACACAGGTCAGTGGTCCTGCTCCTGGCTCTGACTGGACACAGGTCAGTGGTCCTGCTCCTGGCTCCGACTGAACACAGGTCAGTGGTCCTGCTCCTGGCTCTGACTTGACACAGGTCAGTGGTCCTGCTCCTGGCTCTGACTGGACACAGGTCAGTGGTCCTTCTCCTGGCTCCGACTGAACACAGGTCAGTGGTCCTGTTCCTGGCTCCGACTGGACACAGGTCAGTGGTCCTGCTCCTGGCTCTGACTTGACACAGGTCAGTGGTCCTGCTCCTGGCTCTGACTGGACACAGGTCAGTGGTCCTGCTCCTGGCTCTGACTGAACACAGGTCAGTGGTCCTTCTCCTGGCTCTGACTGGACACAGGTCAGTGGTCCTGCTCCTGGCTCTGACTGGACACAGGTCAGTGGTCCTGCTCCTGGCTCTGACTGGACACAGGCCTGTGGTCCTGCTCCTGGTCCTGTCTCAGACTGAACCTGGCAGGCCAGCTAGCAATCCTGCTTGTGAGTGAGATATGGGTCAGACTGTATCATATGATACAATGGTTCATAATGCTAAGCAGTGGGAAAGTAAGAAATCTCCCAGTGGTCACTACTGTTTAGGTCATTGAGTCTTTTTAGTGTACGACTGCTGGTCGCTGACCCTTCCCAGACATTCCATATGGGCACTCTTAGGCCTGTACATGTCAGTTTCCTATGCAATTTTCTGTATTGATATTTTTGTCAACAAGTGGGTAAACAGTATTGATTTTTCTGTATCCAATATATTAGGTGTTGGTGAGTATTGGATAGGTCAGATCTCCATAATTCTGTACGATGACGAAATAGACGTGATGGATTCTGTCATGGTATAAACAGTAACCCGATACATGCCAAGGAATGTAATATCAGTATATATACAGAAAAGAAATTGAAAATTTAGTTTGAAACACCAAAACACAAAATTCTCTTTACAACATTGGGTGTTTAATGGCAAATGTTTCAGCATAAAGTGACAAATCAAAATGGGTAAAATCTATTTTTCTCACCACCAAAAAATAAAAAAGAGAATTCGCACATTATGACTTTTTTACAGTAAAAAAAGTATTTTTTCTCACATATAAAGGGAATATGTTCTTATGTAGTAATTTTGTCAGAGATAATAACATCTTACTTGAAACTAGTTCATAATTACTGTGTGGTATGATTGTGATGTCGTTATAAGGATTGCTAATGTGAAAACTGCTGGACTTAATTTTATCAATTAAATGAAGTAAAATCCTATATTTATAGATATAATAAAGAAATAAAATTATGATACTCATGTAAGATCCTATATATATTACCATTTACTGCAGTCTTTATGACAAAATGAACCAGACCGGTACTTTTACATACAAGAGACACATTGTCAGACTGCCAATATCTGACGTAAACTTACTGTTTATTAAATCTAAATCGAATGTCTATGTAAGTTATTCATCATAGGTGACCGAGTCTGAAAAGTGTGGCATGGATAGCATTCCTTAACCCAGGTAGATTGCCCAGGTGTGAAAATATAAATACTTATCGGTACCACAGAAATGAGTTTATAAGAGTTCTGGCACGTCCCCTCTCCGCTATTTATAAATCCTAAGGTATATATACATTATTGTTGCATAATTATACATGGGAATTTGACTCCACATATGTTCAGGGCTAAGCCCATAACAGTGCTTTAATAATTAGGACCTATTGTGGGGTATATACCTGATAAATACCCGAGGATGAATCTCTTACAGAATATTATGACAGCTACTATGTAAGAACAATTAATCCTTCCTTTTATTAGTGATTCCTTAGTGTTTATGTACATTTATGAATTATCGATATGGTTGAGACAAGCTATACCTGTAATATTTCTCCTCTAGGGGTGTATGAGTATTACCACACACCTGTTTTATTATACCTATAAGGTAAATTTCTATATCCTATACGCTGTATATACGTATATATTTAATTTCTCTGCAAAGGTGTGATATGATTTATATGGTATAGAATTACTGTAATATCTAATATATAACTATGTTCCTCACAACAGGTGCGACATCAGACATGGATTTTAATGTGGTGAAGTCAGATTCTCAGGTGCTGGACAGCGAGGCTGCCAAACACAAGATCTCTGTGAAACCCAGGTCACGCCGAGCTTCCAGTCAACGCACCAGGACTGTAAGTGAAAGCAATATGCAGTCTGAATACTGAATCAGTCAACTCAGTTATCGTAGGCTGTCCAGAATATCTACTTCATCGCACTGTTACACTAGGGACCATTTTGTTTTAGATTTGAGTTATCTTAAAATAAATCTTTGGAAGCCTAATGTATTCCAATAGAATCTGGACCCCATTTGACATTTTATGAGGTTTGATAGTTTTATGTTTTATTGAATGAAATGAGTGATTATATTATCCCTTTCACCACTGTAGACCACAATGGGCTCATCTAGATCAATGCATAGAAGAGTTTACTGAAGTTACATAGGGATGAAAGGGTTAATAACATTTGTTACAATGTACTTCATTGAGGAAAAGGTTTGCTCTGAAACCATGATGCTTTTGAGTTAATACCATTTACATGTGTAGTTGGGGATTCTTGATTTTTGTAAGGAGGTGTCTCATCTCCTGGAGAGAAAGGTTAAACTTTTGAGAAAATGTCACTTAACATTACAAATAATATTTACAAGGAAGGAATAAGTGATATAGATTCTTAAATAAAACAAACAAACCTGTTGTACAAGCGTTAGAGTTCCCTTGATGTAACTCGGGGCACTGCGGGTGGCAAAGTGGTTATGACGTCTGATCGTCTACAATCACTGGGTTGTGGGCTCAATTTTTTAAATGTCCTAAAATGACCATACTAATGACATATTTTGAGTTGTTCTTTCAGATGAAATCATTACATCTTAAAATATAGGAACAGTTTAGCAAATTCACTGGTTGAAAACACTCAATATAAGGGTCCAAAATCGGGAGTCTCGGATCCCTCCTAAATAGGGAGGGTGAATTGGCAAGTATGTCTATCTGTTAGCAGGACGTACAAACCAAACAACCAAACCTTGGTAACTGATCTTGATATAATATTAGAACACTAGACTATACCTTACCGTATTTTACCGGTAATGAGCCCTCCCCTCCCCCCTCCTGNTGGATTTTATCTCACCTCTACTGTTGAGTGTCCAGTAAATATTTCAGCATAAAAAAGTTTGTGTTGTACAAATAACCAGAAGACACAAATAAAATTTCATGTTTTTTAACCCTTAGGCTGCTACACGGCACGGTACTATATTTCACCTGAAATCCCTGTCCAATTATCATTTTCCTATTTGAGTGGTGTAAATTGTTACAGACCAAATGTTCCCTGGGGGCTCCACATGGCTATAATGCTATAGCCTCTGAGATTTGGTCTTCATCCAAATTCTCCATATACTGCAAGAACAGTGATTTATAGAACTTTTAGCAAGAAAATTTGCCCGAATATGAAATAATAACGGCCCAAAATTTATTCCTGGTATGTAATCATGCAGCTGTGCCAAATACACCAGTATTTTAAAAAGTTTCGTTGGAGTAACGATAGTGTTGTTGAAATTGATTTTGAGCATGCTTGTGTAATTTCTTTAAACAATATCAGTGTTGTTATTGCAGAGAGAAACCACTCTGTATTCTTTAGTATTTTACTCTGTCTCGGCTTTGAAACACTGGTGTCTATTAAGTCAGAAAAAAATCTAGAAATTTTCGTTTATAAGAATGTTTAAAAGAAAAAACTGCAAACTTCATTGTCACTGAATAGTGAAAAGATATATGAACACGATAGTTAAATTCAAGATTTGAATGCAATGAAATTGGTTTAGTGACCTTGAGGAATTGGTTCAGTGACCTTGAGCAAGGCTAATACCACTCGGATCCTAAACCAGCATATCAACTGTTAAGTGACACAGATTTCTGATAGTGTTATTGAGTTAAGAGGCCTACCACTCGCACACAATGTAATCAGACGACGTTCAATTTCAATTTTCAATCAGATAATTGTTTGCTCATGTGATTTGCTATTTCCTGTGTTTTAACACCAAGACATCTTGTCTCACCAGAAGCCCTGCGATTCAGGATTTCAGGTTAATTTTCTAAGGTAATTTCAAATTTGCTTCAGCAAAATCATCAAGATATTACATTATCTGAAGACATGAAATATGAGCAATATGTTTTATGGACAAACGAGCTGGTAATGCAATACATTTTAAACCCAAGATTTAGTTATTTCGTTTTCCATATTTATCCGACTATAAGCCTATAACTGGTAATAAGCCCACCCATATTTATCCCATCGTATTAGAAATGCCAACAGAGTTAATTTCCTGTAATAGGCTCCCTCCCTTCTACATTGAGTCTGGAATGGTATGTTGGCTACCGGGGCTTCATAAATGCAGCATAAATACATTAGATGTGTTTGATTCTTTAGGTAAAATAGTCCCTCCTTCATTTTATTTTCAATCTCAAACAGAAACCCTCTGTAGGAGCAAGTGCCTTGCCGCAGCTGAAGGAAGAATCTCCACCAAAGGAAATTCCTTCACAGGGAGTAGCCATAGCAACACCAAAGCCACACGAGGATGTGAAACCAGTGGATACGAAGCCTACCAAAGAGGAGGTCAAGGTCACAGAGGTAGAAGCCAAGGTTAAGGTTGCTGAGACTGAGGCTGCTCTGACCAAGCCAGCAGAACAGGAGCCCCTGATAACGGTTAGGGACAATATGACCAGTATCCAGATCGTAGGTGTGTACAAGATAGAAACGGTCAGTTTGAAAGACAAAGATTATAAAATAGATCAATTTCCAGTTGCCTATGATAGATAATATTTCCTAGAATTTTAATATTTTTATGAAGTTTTTATTGAAATGCATTGTACTTTTTATTGTCTAAAGATATTTTTTCTTTTCAAGATGTATTAACTAGATTTCAGATAGTATATAAATTTTAAATCTGTAATTAGGAATACACTTTCAAGTGATGTTTTAGTCACTGCCAATGTTCATTGCCAACTATACATAACCAGTGTCTCAAAAATTCTGATTTCATCCTACAGGTAAGGATAATCCTGAAGCCCGAACAGTCAGTCCCTCCTTGGAGGTTGATACTGAGAGTGCTAGCAAGCGTCGGAGCATGACAGAGAGCGAAAAGGACAAAATGCCTGGTCTACCAGTCAGTCCAGTGGCTCTGGGTGCAGTCAAACTCCGGACCAGGCCTCGTCCAAAGAGTCTGATCGAGCCTCCACAACTTCCTAAGCCAAGTGGGGATGAACTAGCTAAGGCTTTCAATAAACGCCTGTCAGTTCGAAAGGAGAGATCAAGTGAGGGATTCTCAGAGGAAGATTTCTTAGAGGTGAAAAAGGATTCTAATGAGGTAACACCTGCAGTGCTGCCATCTGACCTCAAAAAGACATCGCCCACAGGTGCTGCCCCCTCCACAGGGGGGATAACTTATGTGTTAAAGAAAGAGCCTTTAAGAAAAACATCATCATCATCATCATCAGACAGTGCTAAAACTCAACCGTTAAAGGCTGTTTCTGAGGAACCAAATAACAAAGACCAGCCAAAGCCAAAACCAACTGATACCAAAGCTGAGCCTGTGAGGATTGAGGTGCCTAAAAAAGACAATGTGCCTCCTTCTGTACAGGAGAAAAGTAAATCTCTCTCAAACAAATTAGCTTCACCACGGGAAGAGTACAGACTGAAAAGACAGTCTCGCAGCAAGACATTGCCTGTACAACCAGTTTCACAGGAATTCTTGGATAAAAAAGCCAATGATAACACTGCCGCTGCCAGTAATCTAAGCCAAAGTGTGAAAGAGGAAACACCCGTGAGCAAGGCAGATGCCGTGTCTTCTGGTCTGTCCAAAAAATCAGAGCCAAAACGTTCATCCTTAAAAGAAACAAACAATGCTGCTGAGCCTTCATGGTTTGCTATGGCCAGAAGGAAACAGGCTGATGCGGAACAGGAGGCAAAGAATGCTGCCAAGAAGGAAAATTCTCCTCCTGTTGGGGCTAAAGCTAACCCATTACCATCCTCTGGAGGGGCCAAAACAACCCCTTTACAGTCATCCATAGGGGCTAAATCTACACCCTTGCAATCTTCAATAGGGACCAAACCTACCCCTGTTCAGTCATCGGCAGGGCCAAAGCCTACTACAGGACAATCTTCAGTAGGAACAAAGACGAACCCTTCCACGGGAATTAAACCAAAGTCTACAGATAGTCCAAATACTGCTAGTGCTAGCAAGGAGGGGGCAACCTTGGTACGCAGCTTTAGAGACAAAATGGCTGACAAGTCAGAAAGTACACCCTTTAACAGGGCAAGTGTGAAATCCTCAGGGTTCTCTAGTAAGGAAGAAAAGGAGAAAATTAATGGGAACAAAAAAGCCCCTGAAACAAAGAAGGAAGCAGAACCCGTGCAAAGAACATTGTCAAACCGATCAAAGTTTGAAGCAAAGAGTTCTACACCTGGTGTTGGTAGTCAGGCATCAACGTCTTCCTCTTCCTCTTCTTCCTCTTCCTCCTCTTCTGTTCCAGCCTGGAAGGCTAATCTGGCCAAGAAGAAGGAGAAGGAACCAAAAATCAAAATAGAAATCATTGAGAAGAAAACAGAGAAACCAGTTCCCCCAAAGAAACCCTCGAAGGCCTTAGAGGAGGTAAGTCATTCTCGGCGAATGTTTGTCATTAGCTTTCCGTCGCTAACAGATATCACAATAAGGAAATACTGTACAAAAGTTAGTATTACGGACTATTTAAAGACAGAGAGGAGACTATTTCAATCTCTAACCTTTTATGTTGCGATAAAAAAGCACTTTCAACGTTTGCATATAAGGGTAATGCTAAGGTAGAGCTGCTTTGTAAAGTTGGCTGAATTTATGACTTATGTTTTGCCAGTGTTTTGTCTTAGTAAATGGCTATTCAGTGTTCATAGTTTACACCTAACACTTCTGCACTGCTACGATGGGACATAGGATTTGATACTATACTTTACTGCTACTGTAAAAATATGTAAAAAGTATATCAAGATATATTGGTGCAGGTAAAATTTAGGATTAACATTTTAATACTGGGGTGAGGGGAAACTCCTTCGGGGAACTCCTTCAAAATGAAAATGTCGAAGACTTACCTGGCTGAATTCTTAGATGTTTAATTAATCTTTTACTCATACAGGTAGTATAACAAATCAAATTAAAAGTGCATATTTAATATTCACCATTAGTAAGCCAGCTTATCAAATGAAAATATTTTACATGAAATGACTATTTTTGGAGACTGAATTTTGTGGTCTGTGCCCTATGTTCAGGAATAGGAATCATACCTAATAGACCTAAAAGACTATAATTAATTTCACTTGCTGCAGGACAGATCCAATAGGACATGTAAGTAACGTATCCTCGCAGCATGCAGCCAGACCCCTGTTTTATACCCTACATTTGCTACTCCAGGGTTTTGTGTTGAAATTAAATCGATTTGGATTTCATAAAAAGTTTACCATCATTCATTTGATCAATAAAAAATAGGATTATACAGGAAAACAAAACATGCATTGCTGTTTCTGAAGCTAACAACAATTTAGGGATTAAAAGCTGTGGAAACTTTAATTCTCTGGGTAAAAGAAAAATCAAAGTATCCAAAGGATAGTGTTTGCTGGCTGAACAACAGAGTTATTTCCCTTGATTTTGTACACAAGTTAGTCAGAGTTATCATCCTTGGTTTGCAGTCTCTTTTTTTTTTCTGACTCATTTCTCTGGGTTTTGTATTGCCAGTGTTTTGTTGTGAATATTGATATGTGCATGTCACAGTTATAATTGTGTATCTTTTAACATGTTAACCTTCCAGTGTGTTACATAAATATTCAGGTTTTGGGGGAAGGGAGTATTATCTGTCAGGGTGACAAGGGGGAGGGAGTAATTAATGTATAAGGTTACATGTAAGTCAACAGAATCCCTTCTTTCTTCTGAAGTTTTAATATATAGTTTATCTGATTTATTTGAATATGCATGTCCAATTTATATTTGTAACTCAGTAATTCCCTTTATGACAGCTGTTTATGTTCTTTGATACTTTCTATAGCTGGTGTTAAAAAAAATTCAAATATTATAGGGAAAGTTTATATTATCCCTCATTAGCTTCTAGTTATATTTTCAGATTATTTGGTGTTTGAACAAATTATAGAATTTAGAAAACCACCTCTCACTTAATTCTTGGTTGATTCCAGTTTTGTCTCAACACTTTGAGAAAAAATTGTAATCCTTCAAAACCAACATTATATAGGTTAGAATTAACAAGTCACCTTATTTCTTTTTCACAATACATTGTATATTCCTTTGTATACAGTAAACAGTTACCCAGTAAAAAAAAAAACATGTGTCTTGTCCAAGTAAAAATCTCCTACTTTTACATGTTTTTAGAAATAAAATTACTGGTTATACTTTCGAGTAAACATATTGCAGAAAATATTTATTATTGTTATTCGAAAATAAAAAACAAAAGAGTATGGAAGCTTACAAATGTGGACATGTATTTCTTAATTTTAGGAAATATTTGTTTGTGTTTAATTAGTCCAATTAACAGTGATATTCTGAATCCTTAGTTGCCAGATTTAAGAAGATTTTAAGAATGTACATTTGTTCATGTTGCATTGAAGTTTTTGTAACCGCAAATAGAGATAGGTGATGCATTGATAGACTCTTGATTTTTGTTGTTGCAGAAAGTCCTGTTGCGAGATAAACCGGTGGTGGACAACTGCAGTGACAGGAGACAGTCCAAGGTTCTCGACATGGTTAAGAGTTTCCAGAAACTTGAAGTGAGCTGATGTACAAACCTTCCCTGAGAAACTAGTGAACAAAAACATGCCTCTGAGCTGTCAGTACAGACTTACCTCCCCTGAGAGCAAATTGGGCTGATCCACTTGCTTCCCAGAAGTTGAAGTGTGTGCTGCACCCCTCTTCAATTGATTCAGTGAACTGACCGTGCTAATTGGGGATAATGTATGATCCATGTAGAGGGAGAATGAGAAACAATGTATTCTAACCTCTGCATTGGAGAACAACGCACCGACATATTTTCCTCCCTTCAAGAGGAATAAGGTTCTCTTTTGAAAATGAAAGCTTAAATGCTTGCATCTTCCTTTTGGAGAGATAAAAGTGATATATATGCTGGCCTCTTTTTACATGGAGGCTAGCTTACTTCCCCTTACATGGAGATAAGTGGCCTCGTTTACCTCAGACTGATTTACCGTCTCTGATTGTCACTGATAAGACAAGTTTGGCATCAGCACACTATAAGCCATTAGACCAAACTACTGCAAACTACATATATACAACTACAGCTATTCAACACATTCATGTTCCAGATTTGATTTGTGTAAGCTTTTAGTGTTTAAGGTATTCTAGTGTCTTCTGCCATATATGTTTGAGCCTATACTATAAGTCACATGACTTGAGTAATAATACACAAATCATGATTGATGACATATACAAAGGATTCTAGTTCGATTCTTTTTCTCAATTAAATGGATGTTGCTTTTATCGCTTAGAAACAATGCAAGTTTAATTCAGGAAATGATCATCATATTTAAAAAAAAGTCTTGTTACAGAAGAAATAAATGTCTAAAAATATAACACAGTGAGCATGAGTATTTATACATTACCGATATTGATGTTGACCTGGTAACTATGATACAATCTCCATGGCTTGCCTGTTAGGTCATTTCTCATTGGTTGAGTACTTGTTGATAGTGTAGATCATGTGACTTATCCACAATTTTCAGTTAAAAAGAAATGTTTTAGAGTGAATGTGTTTATTGTCTTGTGTGATGACAAAAAACTAAATTCCATTGCAAGTACAGATGCTATTATCAAGTTTATCAGAAGAAATGTTTGGTGAACAAGATGATAAAATGTCTGCCGTAAGAAAACTCTTGTTATGCTAGATAGATATGAAGAGTGAACGAAGAAATATGTGACGATGATGTGATGACATTAAATAGTTGTGAAATATAGGCATTTATATACATATTTATTCATTATTACCAAATGTAATCTAATGTAAAGATGTACACCCATAAAAACATAGATCATAACTTATGCCTTCTTTAAATTACTGTTAAGAAAACAGTTTCCCTGCTGTCAAAATTGTGTAAAGGATCTCCTTGACAAAACTGATTTGTTTATTATTAGAACACATTCTTGATAAAAAAAAAAATACATAGAAGACAATAATACCTGTAACTGATCAATATTGTGGGGAATAAATTTGTAAGAAAAATTCAACTTTGACAAATCCATAATCACAAATTAACATTAGAACCTTTTAGATGTGACTAATTTTATTGATGTTACTTAATGGAAAAACAGTCACAATATAAACATTATCTAATTTGGAATGCCCAGTGTTTAATACAAATCAGTGAAATTGAATGTTTTTACCAAGTGCAATATATAGCTGTATTTACGTATGTGTTGAGTAAAGTAGCCATTAATTGTCTGTCTGTAGGTATTTTCTGTGTTGATCAATAGACTTATTTTAAGCAATTAAATAATTTTTAGTTTAATAACTATATTTTATCACCTATTTAACAATTAAGCGTGGTAAGGGGTCATTTGAGCCTCCAAAATGATCTTCTTTATCAACATAACAATCATGTATCGTTAATTAATTTACTTTGTAATCAACTTTTATCTCCAGGAGCAATCAGGATAAAGTGAAAATCAAAAATGGAAATCTTACCTTCAGAGGTTATGTCTTCAGAATTAACATTCATTACCGGGAGAGTATTTGCATATAAGAGTGTTTTATGTTGTTGGAACTCTAGGTAGAGTGATTAACTAATTTAATTCCATAGATTTTCTTTAACAGTGTGACAATAAAGATAGGTAGGTTAGTTGGTTTAAGTATGATCTGTAGGTGTGTCAAAAATTCTTTAACTCATTCACCCCTGAAAACATATTTGAACTCTTCCAATTGAAAGGTTGGAATAGTTCATTACAAAATTTCAGGGGTAAATGAGTTAATGAACTTGAAGCTTTGCTCTTAGAGATTTTCAGCTTTTAATTGACTGTAGGTTCTTGATATCACCTTCTTTGTCTTAGGTTTGCTTCACTGATCAAATACAAGTAGCGTTGATGTATTACAAATGATTCTTTGATGAAGCAAAGAGAAATATGCTACATATCTGTCATAACCTCATAAAAATTGCTAAAAGTACCAAAACTATTTTTTTCTAAACTTTTTTGACAACTCTTACAAGGTTACAGTGGCTCTAGACTATTTAGCATACAGGGACAGATTGAATGATAATTAATATGACATTTTCTGCGAAGTTTTATCAGTGTGTATTTATTTTTCTTCGTTAGATCTCAAAAACCCCTTTGTACATATCACAACGATTATAATGTGCAATGTTTTGTATATGGTTTAAGAGAGTGTACAGATTTCTGTAGGCTTGTAAGCAGCCTTGTTCACAGGACATCAGATTGCTCTTCCTGTGTTGGCTTTTAGGACACTTAATAAAATGATGTTAAGTCTTTACAAATGTTTTGTTTGTTCCATGTGTCCCTATCAGCTTATTAGCATTACAGTTGTCTCCCCTTAAGCTTACTGGTACAGTTGTCTCCCCTTAAGCTTACTGGTACAGTTGTCTCCCCTTAATCTTACTTGTACAGTTGTCTCCCCTTAAGCTTACTGGTACAGTTGTCTCCCCTTAAGCTTACTAGTGTTGCAATTGTTTCCTTAACATTACCAATCATCTTCTATACTTATTAGGGGAATGATACTCGGCTATAACTTTATGCTAAGTACCTACAAAACTTCAATAATAAAATAATGATAAAATTTAAGTTCGTTCTCCTATAAATCTTTCAGCCTTATGTAAATTTAGTAGATTCTTCCATGTATTGATCTGGGCCAGTCCACTATGATCTTGGGTGTTGAAAGGGTTCTGTATTGAATTTAGATGGAACAGAGAATGAACATGAGAAAAGCTTTATGCATTAAGACACCTGTTTTAAATGTTTAGGACATCATGAAACTGTTACCTGTGTAACGTGCGGGCGGTCACCCATCCAACTACTGACCTCGCTCAACGTTGCTGAGCTAGTGAGCGGGTCCCCAGTTATACTGCACCACTGGAAAAGCTAGCTTGCCAGCAAGGCAGTATTTTCCCCCCATATACTGTTACACTTGTTGTACATTATCTAAACCTAATGTAAACTGTTGTACAGAACTGTTAACAATACCACAGCTTGCCAAAGTTTTTACAATTGATCATTGATACCATAAATGGCATTATTAATCATAGATGACATCAATTTTAACTTATTACCGATAATTAAGCTGAAAACATTAGATAAATCTGTATCTATTAAAGTGTGATCCCATTAGTGTTACTTACAATTTTATCCATGCTATGATTTTTAATCCACCAAAGAAATTTTTTAATGTTGAAAAAAAAGATTTCTTGATAGTTTGTTCCTGTGTAAAATAATATCTCACTAGAAGGCAAAAGTCAGAAATTTTAATCGAAAACTATCTTTTACGCATGATTATATTTTGTTTCCTTGGACAAAAATTTGAAAATAAATGTTGATCATTGCTGTAACATGGTGCTTGCTTGTCCATCCATCGTATAGACATTATCTATGAGGGGACCTTCCCATTGAGAGCCTTAGGCTGTCTGTCTGTCCATCCATGGTATAGACATTATCTGTGAGGGGACCTTCCCATTGAGAGCCTTAGGCTGTCTGTCTGTCCATCCATCGTATAGACATTATCTATGAGGGGACCTTCCCATTGAGAGCCTTAGGCTGTCTGTCTGTCCATCCATGGTATAGACATTATCTGTGAGGGGACCTTCCCATTGAGAGCCTTAGGCTGTCTGTCTGTCCATCCATGGTATAGACATTATCTGTGAGGGGACCTTCCCATTGAGAGCCTTAGGCTGTCTGTCTGTCCATCCATGGTATAGACATTATCTGTGAGGGGACCTTCCCATTGAGAGCCTTAGGCTGTCTGTCTGTCCATCCATGGTATAGACATTATCTGTGAGGGGACCTTCCCATTGAGAGCCTTAGGCTGTCTGTCTGTCCATCCATGGTATAGACATTATCTGTGAGGGGACCTTCCCATTGAGAGCCTTAGGCTGTCTGCCTGTCCTTTAATGATTCTGGTGGTTGAATGGTGAACACACAAGAAATACCAGCTCTGTACAAGCTATATGATACACTTTACCATGACAGAGTCATGGCATGTCCATTTATCCATTATCATGCTCTCTCTCTCTATATATATATGTAAATATATTAAACAAATTTATTAAAAAATCAATTTTCTTTCAAGTCTTGAGTTTATTTTGTTACAACAAGGAGAATAACCTGGCTTACACTAAAGTGGTTTGAGAAAACCTTAATATAGATCTTTTTCTGTCTTATATTGAAAATTGTCCATGGATCTGATTGGTGGAAAAAGTATATCAAGAAGACAAAAATGATTATTCCTTAATTACTATTTCTGCATGGGATCGCCACATAAATCGCCTTCTTCAAACTTTGCAGTGAGTAACAGTCTCAATCCCCACCTGCTTGCGTGTGACCACAACAAGTGCCAAGGTTTTTGACAAACCCTTTGAAGATTTATTGTGTGCATGCAAACCCTTATGAAGATTTGCTTTTTGTTTAATGGCTTGTTATGTTTGTTTTACGATAGTTATGGCCTTTTCCTCTTGTACATTAAACATTGTAACACAAGTTGAAAAATAATATATAGGCCAAGGAAGATGACCCTTATAACTTAATTGGTGAGCTAGGTAACAAGTAACAAAGAATAATGCCTGATACCCAGCAAGTGAAGTAAAATACGATTTACCATTTCAACACGTCTAAGGTATCGTTCAACTTTCCTGTTAAGAAAACGCAAATGTCCATTTCTTTTCTTGCAACATATTTTGATACATATTAGTACGAGAATGCACTAGAAGGATTCTTTGTATGATTGTTTCCCCAAGTCGTCCTTGAAAATAAACATTGTTTTGTCCATATGAAATAATGGTATTTGCCTCACTAAAAAGCCTATCGAAATCAATGAAACATTAACTTAACTGAGAGTTAATGACTGGTTAAAAAACTGTACTGTAGGTGTTGTATAATTTAAGATGAAATATGTCCACTAATTGGCAGGCTTGGTACCTGGTAATTTCCATTTCATATACAAATGTGACAGTGACTTGCATTGTATCGAGATGAAAATAAGGTATTCCTGGTAGCGTCCTCCGACGACATACACAAGGTGATTCGCCTGGTGCTTATTTCGATGTAAAAGCATTCACTACCTAGTAGACTTATTAGAATACACTAGTTGGTGGCTTTGGATGTTAAGATAGGTATCCCACCCGGTGACTTATTTAGAATTATACAGTAAATGCCCCTACAAGGCGTCTTATTAAGGGATATGAAACAGATGCAACTTGATGGATGTAGTTGAAAAAAGACCAAAAGTCGCCTCTCCCTCCTTGGTATATGTCGAAAACAAGACCGGCTTTCCTGTTTTGGACACATTGCAAGCTTATTTATACATGTAATATAGGAGCCATCTGGTGACTTATTTAAACACATAACAGGTAAAACTGTTGTCTTTTTACAACATGAATAAAGTGCCCCTACTTGCACATATGAAGCAAACTATTCGCGCATGGAGAGTGGGTAACTCCTACCAACAAGAAATCCAAACCTGAATGTTAGATACATTCACAGTGTACTGCTCCTAACATCATACTGGCCAGTGAAACATGACTATACCCATCCATCAACGGAGCGGCGGTACTCCCAGCAAATAGGTGATAGATTTGCTGCAAGGAATTCGAAGGTCGGTCCGTTCAGCTCACAAGAGTGGAGGGTAACGCGATCGGACATAGAACACGGGTACCGAGATGTTAGCTGCATCATTCAACACCACGAACACTACAAGTCAATAATAGTGTGTTGACTCTATAGATAAGCATGATATATTAGACATACCTTTGATATGTGCAGGACATGGCATACAGTCAAAAGAAAACATCCTGTGAGTTGGAGGAGAAGCAAACCAATACCAACTGGAAGCTGGAAAGCATAGCGAGAACCAACTGCACCAAGTTCAACTGAACTTTTCTGAATATTTTTATGAACAGTGCACGTCTACAAATTATTGCCTTTCCTACCAATATTTGCGGTGTTTGCCACTATCAAAAGTGTCGGTAAATGGTTTTCATTTCAATTTAGACGAGAGTTGACATCAATAAAACAACACACTTAGGCTATTCATTAAGTAACTTCCCCCGTCTTGTCCTAAGCTTACCTATCAGCCATGACATATGGAATAGAACAAGTTTCCCGAGGGTATTCAACAGCATGAAAATCTAGACTACCCAGCTTATGAGATCATCACAACCATCCGTGACCTGGTCTGGGTCCCGAACAACAGCCAACAGACAGCCACTGATCTACCTGACTTTAGTAAGGACGTGACCTGATCAGGGGCCCGAACAGCAGATAGACACTGATTTACATGACTTTAGTAAGGACGTGACCTGGCCAGGGGCCCGAACAACAGCCAGCAGACAGACACTGACCGACCTGACTTTAGTAAGGACGTGACCTGGTCAGGGGCCCGAACAACAGCCAGCAGACAGACACTGGTCTACCTGACTTTAGTAAGGACGTGACCTTACAACAGCCAGCAGACAGACACTGATCTACTTGACTTAAGTAAGGACGTGACCTGGCCAGGGGCCCGAACAACAGCCAGCAGACAGACCCTGACCGACCTGACTTTAGTAAGGACGTGACCTGGTCAGGTGCCCGAACAACAGCCAGCAGACAGACACTGGTCGACCCGACTTTAGTAAGGACGTCACCTTACAACAGCCAGCAGACAGACACTGATCTACGTGACTTAAGTAAGGACGTGACCTGGTCAGGGGCCCGAACAACATCCAGCAGACAGCCACTGATCTACCTGACTTTAGTAAGGACGTGACCTGATCAGGGGCACGAACAGCAGATAGAAACTGACCTACCTGACTTTAGTAAGAACGTGACCTGGTCAGGGGCCCGAACAACAGCCAGCAGACAGGCACTTACCTACCTGACTTTAGGAAGGAAGTGACCTGGTCAGGGGTCCGAACAACAGCCAGCAGACAGCCACTGAGCTACCTGACTTTAGTAAGGACATGACCTGATCAGGGGCACGAACAGCAGATAGACACTGCCCTACCTGACTTTAGTAAGGACGTGCCCTGTCCAGGGGCCCGAACAACAGCCAACAGACAGACACTGATCGACATGACTTTAGTAAGGACGTGACTTGTTCAGGGGCCCGAACAACAGCCGGCAGACAGACACTTACCTACCTGCATTTAGTAAGGAAGTGACCTGGTCATGGGCCCGAACAACAGCCAGCAGACGGACACTTATCTACCTGACTTTATTAAGGACGTGACCTGACCAGGGGCCCGAACACCAGCCAGCAGACGGACACTTATCTACCTGACTTTAGTAAGGACATGACCTGGTCAGGGGCCCGAACAGCAGACAGACACTGATCTACTTCACTTTAGTAAGGACGTGACCTGGTCCGGGGCCCGAACAACAGCCAGCAGAAAGACACTTATCTACTTGACTTTATTAAGGACGTGACCTGACCAGGGACCCGAACAACAGCCAGCAGACGGACACTTATCTACCTGACTTTAATAAGGACGTGATCTGGTCATGGGCCCGAACCACAGATAGCAGACAGACACTGACCTATCTGAATTTAGTAAGGACGTGACCTGATCAGAGGCCCGAACAGCAGACAGACACTGATCTACGTTTCTTTAGTAAGGACGTGACCTTGTCAGGGCCCCGAACAATAGCCAGCAGACAGACACTTACCCACCTGACTTTAGTAAGGAAGTGACCTAGTCAGGGGCCCGAACAACAGCCGGCAGACAGACACTTACCTACCTGCATTTAGTAAGGAAGTGACCTGGTCAGGGACCCGAAGTAAGGACGTGACCTGGTCAGGGGGCCGAACAACAGCCAGCAGACAGGCACTTACCTACCTGACTTTAGGAAGGAAGTGACCTGGTCAGGGTCCCGAACAACAGCCAGCAGACGGACACTTATCTACCTGACTTTATTAAGGAAGTGACCTGGTCAGGGTCCCGAACAACAGCCAGCAGACGGACACTTATCTACCTGACTTTATTAAGGACGGGACCTGACCAGGGGCCCGAACAACATCCAGCAGACAGATACTGATCTACCTGACTTTAGTGAGGACGTGACCTGGTCAGGGGGCCGAACAACAGCCAGCAGACAGCCACTGAGCTACCTGACTTTAGTAAGGACATGACCTGATCAGGGGCACGAACAGCAGATAGACACTGCCCTACCTGACTTTAGTAAGAAAGTGACCTGGTCAGGGGCCCAAACAACAGCCAGCAGACAGACGCTTACCTACCTGACTTTAGTAAGTACGTGACCTGATCAGGGGCCCGAAAACCAGCCAACAGACAGACACTTACCTACCTGGCTTTAGTAAGGAAGTGACCTGATCAGGGGCCCGAACAGCAGACAGACACTAACCTACCTGACTTTAGTAATGACGTGACCTTGTCAGGGGCCCGAACAACAGCGAGCAGACAGACACTTACCTACCTGACTTTAGTAAGGCCGTGATCTGGTCATGGGCCCGAACCACAGATAGCAGACAGACACTGACCTATCTGAATTTAGTAAGGACGTGACCTGGCCATGGGCCCGAACAACAGCCAGCAGCCCGCCACTGATCTACCTGACTTTGGTAAGGACGTGACCTGGCCAGGGGCCCGAACCCCAGCCAACAGACAGACACTGGTCTACCTGACTTTAGTAAGGAAGCGACCTGGTCAGGGGCCCGAACAGCAGATAGAAACTGAACTACCTGACTTTAGTAAGAACGTGCCCTGGTCAGGGGCCCGAACAATAGCCAGCAGACAGACACTTGCCTACCTGCCTTTAGTAAGGAAGTGACCTGATCAGGGGCCCGAAAACCAGCCAACAGACAGACACTGGTCCACCCGACTTCAGTAAGGACGTGACCTTACACCAGCCAGCAGACAGACACTGACCGACCTGACTTTAGTAAGGACGTGTCCTGGTCAGGGGCCCGAACAATAGCCAGCAGACAGACACTTGCCTACCTGCCTTTAGTAAGGACATGACTTGGTCAGGGGCCCGAACAGTAGATAGACACTGACCTACCTGCCTTTAGTAAGGACGTGACTTGGTCAGGGGCCCGAACAACATCCAGCAGACAGATACTG